AAAGCAGAAGTTTAATGCATGACACTTGAAGTAGCAGAGCTACTTCAAACTATGTGGTTTTGCAACAAAGATTGCAAGTCTACATATTTTCAAGTTCTGTTGTGAACAAAAATGATAAACCTGAAATATTATCCTCTGTCCCTCATAGAGCAAACTTTCTTCAGAAAACCTTATTATGTACTCTTTTTACAGATAAACTGAAATTAGAAAAGATGCAAATGGTTTACTGAGAAGTGTGGTTTTGATTCTTGTTTTTTTTTCTCTCTTTCATTCAGGATCGGACTCGTACCCGGAGCGCAGAGGTGTGCGTAAGGGGAACACTGTGTATGTTTACGGCTCCGGCCTGGTGGAGGACAGCCTGCGCTCGGCCTTCTCCCATCATGGGAACATCATCGACCTCTCGATGGACAACCCGCGCAAGTATGGAACCAGTACTCTGTGAAGCTAACATTTATCCTGACATTCTTCACTCCTGATGCATTCTGCTAATTTTATGGCCCGGGACTCTTCCTCGTGTTTCTCCTTGCAGTTGTGCATTTATCACGTTTGAGAAGATGGAGTCTGCAGACCAGGCTGTAGCTGAGGTTGGCACTTTGCTATTTTACTTTTTATGGAGGCTTTCTGCTTATTTTCAGTCCATTACTTGACTACTTTTAGTGAAAAGTTGTGTTATATGTAAGCGGGGGAAATCTTTGCTTTTTCTCATACCAGATTTGATTTTCAAATTTTTTTTTCTTCCTTTTCTAAAAGAATGGAGCAAAGAATATTTTCAAAACGTCACTTTTATTTCAATAATCCTTTTTGTGTTGCATGACAGAGGATTAGGAGCAGACTATGAAAATTAGTGTTTAATTGTGAGAACGTAATCATATTTGCTGAAAAAAGGTTCATTTTTACATGAAAAAACATCTTAAATTTGCTTCAGAAAGTTGTGTGGATGAGACAAAAAACAACACATCTTGATATCAAGAAGTTATCAAGATGTGACATGACAACCACAAAATAGACACAGTTGTTTGCACTATCATTTGAAACTCCTGCTATTGAGAATAATTAGAATCTGATGCATTAAAAAAATCTGTTTCTATTAAGTAGTAACTTATCCCAAAGTAAAACTTTACAAAAACCTGAATATAAACCTGAACATTCCACATTTAATTTTGTTTTCTTTCATGTTGGAGTTCTTATAAAATTATGGCTGCATTCTGGTAATATTACGTTATTGATTTTATTGTTGTGTGACTTCATTCTTGTAATTAAATTTAAAAAATTATAGCCTGGCCTTAATATCACATTGTAGGGTTGACCTAAATTCAAAGTGCAAAGAAAAATGAAACTTGAGTCTCTTTTTTCCATTAGCAGCAAACACAGACATAATTTTTCCAGATTTACTTTTATTAAAAAGGTTAATTATATTGCCTGTTTGTGTTTTTTTCCAACAGTTGAACGGAGCTGTGGTGGGAGACGTTCATATCAGAGTCAGCATTGCGAGAAAGCAGCCCATGCTGGACGCTGCCACCGGAAAATCAGTGTGGGCCTCCCTCGGTAAACTTCTTCTCTTGTTCGTTAAGAACCGCTCCTCAAACTGTGGCGTTGTCAGAGAAAATGTTCGCAATATCCGTGTAAATGTGCAGTACAAACGCAAAAAAACTCTTCAACTTCACCCGACATTTTTGCCGTGTGAACAAGGCATAAGACGTCCGTTTCTTAAGCCGTCATTTCTTTCTTTTTTTAAATCTTCCAGCTGTGCAGAACAGCACCAAAGGCTCGTACAGGGACAAGAGGAACCAAGTGGTCTACAGTGAAGACTTCCTGGAATAAAAGACGTTTGTTTTTTTCATTTTAATGAGAACCTGGCCTGTATCTTGGAATTGTTTTTTTTTGTTGAATTGAATAAATCATTTTCAAGTAGAAATCCATAAAACTGGGATTTATAAGGTTTCAGCACAACTTTCCTGGCAAAATCCCGAACTCTTCTGGATTCCTCCAATCATTTTTAAAAGTAAAACTATAAAACTTAGCGGCTTTATTAGGAATTTGACAGAAGGATGGAGGACTGAGTAGACCAAAATTTCTCATCTCATAAGATCTCATCTTCATTTAAAGACTGACTGAGAAAAATCTGACATAAATTGTGAAGAAATAAGTCTGAAAATTTATAGACTTACTTAAAATTTTAAATATATAATGCAAAATAAGATGCAGTATTGTTTTCTTTCAACTATGCAAGTGAAAACAGTATTTTATGTTGCATTTATTTTGACAATTAGGCTTAAATGTTACACATCAAACCGTAATTTCTTTAAATTTCACTACAAATCTTAAATAAGCCTCCTGCATCCCCTGCGAAAATAACCAAACTTAAATCCTTCCTGAGTGCTCTCCAAGTTTATTACCTGTGCAGCTCTCTTCATTTCAAACCGATATTCGGATCATTGATGCGTTTTAATCAACCTTCTGTGTGCAGCAGATGAACAGTTTCGAGAGGAGAATCACTGATTTACCATTACAGTACAAATATCTACATAAAAACAAGACATGTTAGTAATTTTCTCTCTTTTTTTTCGTTACATGACACATTACAAAATATCTCACTCAAACCCAAAAGAGAAAATAGTTCACAACAATTTCAGATATGTTAAAAAAAGTACTGGTAGAATAATCGTCTTTGGCTTCAGGGAGTTTCACATAATATCCACTGGTCCAGTTTACTCAGATGCAGTTTAACAGCTACTAGCTACAACCAGAAAAGACCATTTATATTGCTTGTTTACTGTCCATTTATCTTCACACTAGACACGTGGTTTGGCAGTAAACATATGAAGGCATTTTAATATTTTTAGCACTTTAAGATCAGTAACGTCACCATGACCCTTTGAAAAGCAGATCCAGCAGGCTGCAGTAAATTGATGAGTGAAGGCTTCGCAATTAATTTCCCTTGAACCATTTTCACATTAAAGTTAAAACCATAAATCTCTGTATTTTAGTTGATTTTGATGTAATAAACCAACACAAAGCAGGACGTTTTCATGGAAATCTGAAATGTGTGTCTAAATGACAAAAAAAAGGAGAAATATGCCAGTTTTTCTTAACAAAATTGTTCGGGCTCAGTAAGATTGGACGGTGAGCATCTAACAACGATTTGCTCAGGCGATGAACCAAAAAATAAAAACAACACCGAAATTTATGATGATGACCGAGGTCACTGCACATTTCGGTATTTTCAAAAAACGTATTTAGTAGGCTATGCTCGTGTTCCTTTAAGACGTCGCGCTACTTGTACGTTCAGTAGTCACGTGACTCCACCCTATCCAGAAGAATTCGCGGAAGAGACGGTTGAGAAAATAGAGGAAATGGCGGTCGATGAGCAGCTAATGAATGGCTTAATATATAACATTGATTTTAAGCCAGATAGTCTAGCCCTAATGTAAATAATACAAACATATGAATATAAATGTACTAGCTTCATAAAAACAAGCGCTTTGACTCTCGAAGTTTTTAATTTTACCCAAACGCTAACGTTCGGCCGTGACGTCCGTCATGCCCTAATTATATTCTGCACTGCAAAGAGTGAAGTGCAAAGCCAAAAAAGAAAAAGCGGCTGTTGATATTGTTTCAGTATTTTTGAAGCACTATGGCAAGCCGTTTTAACATAAATTCGGTTCAGTCTGGCAAGCCGTTTTAACATAAATTCGGTTCCGTCTGACTATCCGTAATTACATTCCAGATATCTGAAAATGTATTTTGACTAGACAAAACTACATTTTGACTATCCGGAATGGTAATTTAAGATATCTGTATTTACATTCTGACTAGTAAGAATAATAATTCAAGATATCTTCAATTACATTTTGACTAGTCAAAATTCCTTTCAAGATATCTCAAATGACGTCACTGGATCTGTAATTTGACGAGACACGTATCCGGAATTACGGTTTAAGATATCTCGGACGTAATTATGACTAGTCAAAATTACAATTTTAGATATCTGAATTAAGAATGACGTTGAAGCCCCTTTGTGCTGTCCAAACAGTTGCCTGCAGAATTTTATGTTTCCTGCACAAAATTGTCCATAAATGCCACAAATTAGAAAAAATGTTGGACATGCGGACAACACAAAACTTCATAAACTATAAGACTGCTAATGATGTCTGCAAAAAATGTCCTGTTTATTCATTTCCGACGAACTAAATGCACTTAAAAACAGCTTTTAAAAGCTAAAACTGCTTTGTCAATCCATTTTCAACATGAAAGTTGTGCATTTTCAAACGTCTTTTTTCGTTTTTTCTATTTTTCATTGTTTTATTAAACATTCAAATTGCCACGTAAATCAGTGACGCTTTGACTAGACAGAATGCTAATTCAAGATATCTGTAACGTCATTTTTGACTAGTCAGAATGTTCATTTAAGATATCTTAAATAGAAAAGTTGAATAATTCAAGATATTTCTAATTTATTTAGAGATATCTTAAAAGGAATTTTGACTAGTCAAAATTATAATTCAAGATATCTCTAATTTAGTTTTGTCTAGTCATTATTTGCTTTTAAGATATCTATAATTTAATTTCCACTAGTCAAAACTACATTTCTACTATCCAAAAATACATTTAAGATATCTTGAATTATGGACTAATTAGAGATATCTTTAATTAGAATTATGACTAGTCAAAACTACAATCGAGATATCTTGAATTTACTTTTTGATTAGTCATAATTTAATTGTAGATATCTGAAATGTGTATTTCAGATAGTCAGTAATTAATTGTAGATATCTTAAATTGAAGTCCCCATACAAATCAATGGTAAATCTGACGTCATTTTGACTAGTCAGAATGTAATTAGAGATATCTCAAATAGGTATTTTGTCTAGTCAAAATATAATTAGAGATGTGTTAAATTGCTAAAACATCTAGTCATAAAACAATTTGAGATATCTGCAATGTAAGGGCGAAAAAAACGAATTTGTGTTAAAACGGCTTGCCATATATGGCAAGCCGTTTTAACATAAATTCGGTTCCGTCTGACTATCCGTAATTACATTCCAGATATCTGAAAATGTATTTTGACTAGACAAAACTACATTTTGACTATCCGGAATGGTAATTTAAGATATCTGTATTTACATTCTGACTAGTAAGAATAATAATTCAAGATATCTTCAATTACATTTTGACTAGTCAAAATTCCTTTCAAGATATCTCAAATGACGTCACTGGATCTGTAATTTGACGAGACACGTATCCGGAATTACGGTTTAAGATATCTCGGACGTAATTATGACTAGTCAAAATTACAATTTTAGATATCTGAATTAAGAATGACGTTGAAGCCCCTTTGTGCTGTCCAAACAGTTGCCTGCAGAATTTTATGTTTCCTGCACAAAATTGTCCATAAATGCCACAAATTAGAAAAAATGTTGGACATGCGGACAACACAAAACTTCATAAACTATAAGACTGCTAATGATGTCTGCAAAAAATGTCCTGTTTATTCATTTCCGACGAACTAAATGCACTTAAAAACAGCTTTTAAAAGCTAAAACTGCTTTGTCAATCCATTTTCAACATGAAAGTTGTGCATTTTCAAACGTCTTTTTTCGTTTTTTCTATTTTCATTGTTTTATTAAACATTCAAATTGCCACGTAAATCAGTGACGCTTTGACTAGACAGAATGCTAATTCAAGATATCTGTAACGTCATTTTTGACTAGTCAGAATGTTCATTTAAGATATCTTAAATAGAAAAGTTGAATAATTCAAGATATTTCTAATTTATTTAGAGATATCTTAAAAGGAATTTTGACTAGTCAAAATTATAATTCAAGATATCTCTAATTTAGTTTTGTCTAGTCATTATTTGCTTTTAAGATATCTATAATTTAATTTCCACTAGTCAAAACTACATTTCTACTATCCAAAAATACATTTAAGATATCTTGAATTATGGACTAATTAGAGATATCTTTAATTAGAATTATGACTAGTCAAAACTACAATCGAGATATCTTGAATTTACTTTTTGATTAGTCATAATTTAATTGTAGATATCTGAAATGTGTATTTCAGATAGTCAGTAATTAATTGTAGATATCTTAAATTGAAGTCCCCATACAAATCAATGGTAAATCTGACGTCATTTTGACTAGTCAGAATGTAATTAGAGATATCTCAAATAGGTATTTTGTCTAGTCAAAATATAATTAGAGATATGTTAAATTGCTAAAACGTCTAGTCATAAAACAATTTGAGATATCTGAAATGTAAGGGCGGCAAAACCGAATTTATGTTAAAACGGCTTGCCATATATGGCAAGCCGTTTTAACATAAATTCGGTTCCGTCTGACTATCCGTAATTACATTCCAGATATCTGAAAATGTATTTTGACTAGACAAAACTACATTTTGACTATCCGGAATGGTAATTTAAGATATCTGTATTTACATTCTGACTAGTAAGAATAATAATTCAAGATATCTTCAATTACATTTTGACTAGTCAAAATTCCTTTCAAGATATCTCAAATGACGTCACTGGATCTGTAATTTGACGAGACACGTATCCGGAATTACGGTTTAAGATATCTCGGACGTAATTATGACTAGTCAAAATTACAATTTTAGATATCTGAATTAAGAATGACGTTGAAGCCCCTTTGTGCTGTCCAAACAGTTGCCTGCAGAATTTTATGTTTCCTGCACAAAATTGTCCATAAATGCCACAAATTAGAAAAAATGTTGGACATGCGGACAACACAAAACTTCATAAACTATAAGACTGCTAATGATGTCTGCAAAAAATGTCCTGTTTATTCATTTCCGACGAACTAAATGCACTTAAAAACAGCTTTTAAAAGCTAAAACTGCTTTGTCAATCCATTTTCAACATGAAAGTTGTGCATTTTCAAACGTCTTTTTTCGTTTTTTCTATTTTTCATTGTTTTATTAAACATTCAAATTGCCACGTAAATCAGTGACGCTTTGACTAGACAGAATGCTAATTCAAGATATCTGTAACGTCATTTTTGACTAGTCAGAATGTTCATTTAAGATATCTTAAATAGAAAAGTTGAATAATTCAAGATATTTCTAATTTATTTAGAGATATCTTAAAAGGAATTTTGACTAGTCAAAATTATAATTCAAGATATCTCTAATTTAGTTTTGTCTAGTCATTATTTGCTTTTAAGATATCTATAATTTAATTTCCACTAGTCAAAACTACATTTCTACTATCCAAAAATACATTTAAGATATCTTGAATTATGGACTAATTAGAGATATCTTTAATTAGAATTATGACTAGTCAAAACTACAATCGAGATATCTTGAATTTACTTTTTGATTAGTCATAATTTAATTGTAGATATCTGAAATGTGTATTTCAGATAGTCAGTAATTAATTGTAGATATCTTAAATTGAAGTCCCCATACAAATCAATGGTAAATCTGACGTCATTTTGACTAGTCAGAATGTAATTAGAGATATCTCAAATAGGTATTTTGTCTAGTCAAAATATAATTAGAGATATGTTAAATTGCTAAAACTTCTAGTCATAAAACAATTTGAGATATCTGGAATGTAAGGGCGGCAAAACCGAATTTATGTTAAAACGGCTTGCCATAGAAGCACGGCCAACACGGACTGAACGGCTCATTCACTCCCAGCGCTGCCGTTGCTAAAACTACAAGCAGACTACGTCATCGTTCGCAACTTCCTCTGTTCTTTGATTGGCCAGTAGAAATTCTACCGGAGCTGGGCGATATGGCTGGAAAATGGCTAATGATACGCGCTCAATATCAGTCGATATCAATAACTATTGAGTAGTTTTAACTGGTGGCATGGCCTTTCCTATTTTAGCCAAAGTTTCATTCCACACCTAAGTTTTTAATGTTTAAGCAGTTATGAGGCACAGTGGTGAAAACCAAACAGTGAGCGAGTTAGTTGATGTCGCCAACCTAGCTAAACTGGCTAAACTGGCTTAGCTTTCCTCTTTCCCTCCCCCAGAATGCCATGTGGTTCTGATTCCAAGTTCAGTAAAATTATTGACTATTCTATCAGACGCATTTATTGATATCAATGTCTTTCCTGTTATATATTATCATTGATGTACTGTCCAGCTCTACCTAGAAAAATGCATGCCACTTAATTTATCTCTTCATTAGTAAAAAAAATACATTTTTCCTTCTGCCTCACAATTGTATGCCACCTTGTGTTGGCCTATCACAAGAAAATCCTGATAAAATGCACTGAAGCTTGGGTTTAACAGAACATGGGAAAGTCTATGTTTTTGCTCATGACACTTGCTCAGTTTGTTCAGTGACCAGGCCTTCCTGTTCTTCCTCCGGCTCTCTTACTGCAGTTTCTCTCGCCCTCTCCCGCTCCTCCTGCTCGTGCAGGGAGTTCTGCCCCGTGGTTTTCCCGTGCTGCTCCTTCAGGTGGCGTCGTAAGGCGGGCTTGTGGGCGAAGCGGGCGTGGCAATAGGCACAACGATGCGGCCGCTCCCCGCTGTGGAGGTTCATGTGGTCTATCAGCGTGGACTTCTGGGTGAACGTCTTGTAGCACAAGGGGCACTGGTGGGCCTTGGCGGCTCCTCGGTGCACGGCCATGTGTCGGGTGAGGTTGGTGGAATGGTGGAAGTGCTTCCCGCAGCAGGGGCAGACGTACAGAAGGTGGGTGGAGCGGGAGTGGACGGCCAGGGAGTGTGCCGAGGGGAAAGTGAGGCCACAGTGCTCGCAAATTACAGGCCCAGTCACGCTGGAAGTGGAGCCCACCACGGCGACGGACTCATCCCCTCCTTCGTTTGTGCCGACAGCGTTCAACCCTGAACTCCCTTCGCCGGCGCCAGACTCTTCCATGGAGAACTGGTTAACGGGGGAGACCTTTTCACCGTGAACGCTGCCCAGAGAAAAGTCCAACCGGGGGAAATCAACAAAATAATTTGCTGCGGTCTTCAGATCCTCCTGGCTGAAGTCCAGGGCAAAGCCCCCTCCCAGTCCAGCAGCGGCAGCGTACCACAGATCCTGACGGTGAGCTAAAGTCGTGGACCTTTTCTCTTGGGATGATCCCCACTTTCGCTTCTTGAATCCCCTTCCCCTGCCTCTCCCTCTGCCGCGGCTGACCTTCGGCTCGGACAGTCTTTGCCTGAACGCTCTGAGGCCCCCGAAACTCAGATCCTCAGCAGAGTCCAAGTCGCATTCGCTGCCGTCTCCTGCAATGAAGATCCTGTTGGTTTCTGGGTAACACAGGTCCTGAGGAACGTCGGCAGAGTCTCCCATGTCCGGCTCCCCGTCTCGGTTTGTCAGCTCTTCCTCAGGGATGTACACTCTGTAAACGCTGTAGTCCTCCGGTCGGTTCTCATCCTCCTCACCCATCGCGTTTACCTGCAAAACAATTTTAAAACATGACTTCACTGCAAAAACACAAAATGTCACCAAGAAATTCTAGTTTAGTTTCAACTGCAAATATATTACTACACTTAAACTATGACAATTAACTTACAAGTAACATTTCAGCAAGATATAGGAGCTTGTTTTAAGTAAATAATTCCTTAATATTGATGAAAAGGTTCTCGTCTCATTGGCAGATTATTCTACTTATAAAATGGAAAAAACAATATTTTCCTAAGTTCAAAAATCTGCCAGTGGAATTCGTACTTTTAAAAAAACAATATTAAGGTATTGTTGACTTAAAACAAGCTCCTACATCTTGCTGAAAAGTTACTTGTAAGATAATTTTGTCTTATTTCGTAGCTTTAGCTTCACACGTTTCAAATTCACTAAATCAGGATCATGAATGATCTCAAAGGGCTAAAATGTATTGATAAAACCTGATCAGCTGTTAAAATATCAATGAACTCTTAAAATTAAATAACATCTTTTCATCCCCTTGAGAATTTCATGATGTTTTTGCAGTAAAAAGTGTTTGTGGTACTAATTTGAAAATATTTGCACTCATTTATGACAGCAAATGCAACTTTCTATTTACTCGCTGTATGGATTGTGGCCTATAATTTTAAATGAATTACGGTTGAGGTGTTTCGTACAAGTAAGAACGTTTTTGAGGACAATTTGCAATAAACTCCAAATTATGTATAAGTGTAAAAAGGTGCAGAAGTTTGTTGATTTTGCATGAATTCTCAACGAACTGGAGGGACTGATTGATATAATTTGGTAGTAAGCAGATAAAAACTACATTGATTTGATTTGATCTACAGGGCCTTATAAAAAGCTACGATGGGCCAGATTTGGCCCACAGCCCTCGAGTTTGACACATGTGCACTAAAGCAAAGTTATGTTATTGCATTTTACAGTCATATTTATTTTCTTAATCAGAAATCATTTATTTCCATCCTTTAATGTATTTAAATGAAACATTTGTAGACTGTGTAAATTTTTAAAATATGATTACTCGTCAGAATAATCAAATTACAGAAATAATTGGTAGTTGCAGCCCTGCAGTCCGGGTTGGTTTGACTTCCTCAGTGACTCAGCAGGGCTCTCTCGAGTAATTTTAGTCGGGCGGCCACTCCTGGGTCGGCTCACCACCGCTCCATGTTTTTCCCATTAGTGGATAATGGATCTCTGCGGTTTGCCAGAACCCACTGACTTGGAAACGGCTCTGAAATCTTTTTTATTCAGACGTTAATGACCAGGTTTCTCGTCGGCTGTTGAGTTTCAGTGTGACGCGTTGGTTTTTAAGCTCATTAGGCCTACTTCATGCTGTCAAACAGGTTCTATTTGGGGGCTTTTCTCACACAACAAGTCTAGCAGAGGTTAGTGAAACTGAATTCAGCTTCCTGGAATGTCCTGAGAAAGCAGGACATTCCACTTGCTGCTTAACGATGCATGAAAAGGAAGAATAGAGCTGCGGTTTTATGCAGATTTTCAAATGTTGCTGAAAACAGAGACGGATTTTAGCTCCAGATGCAGACAACAGTTATTTAATGAATAAAATCAGAGTCACATCCCTGTTCTTCATTGAAATAAGTTAAATAAATGCTGGAGGGAGTTTTATTTTGGCTCTATTAGGGATGTAGCAATTTTTTTTTAAGGATTATTTTCTCATGATTAATCAGATTAAAAGATATGCCAATTTTTTGTTAAACCGCATCGGCCTTTTTATACATATAAAATAAAATAATAATTTTTAATAAAATATTAAAAATGCAAATGGACATTTAGAATATATTTTAAAAACTCAGAAAATAAACATTTTACTGGATAAAATGCAGTAGCAGATTAGCTTTAATGTATGTTTCATCATTTGTAGGAAAAAATGCCCAACAGATTTTTTGTTTTATACAATTTAAACCAACTTAAGCTAAAACTATGGACATTTTGGCAGAACATATTTACAGACAAATACATTTTTTTGTCTGTAAATAACTTTAAAAGGATATTTTAAAAATTAATAATGTATTATTTTGTGTGCTGCTTCTATGCTCCATAAATCTGGAACACACTTCCAAAAAACGACAAGCAGCTCCAGAAAACTAAGCTACTAAAAATGTAGATGTTTAGTCTGAATTTAAACTATAAATTGAAATAGTAGATTATTTGAATTAATCATTTATTAATAAGTTATTATAATAATTATAGTAATTGCTGAAATATTTATTTGATTTAATCATAAATTATTTGAATTTATAGTGGTTCAAATTGAAGATTTTGATGTGAAAAATTTTTATGTTTTAATCACTGACTGTGTTCTTAGTATTTTTATGACGTAAAGCACTTTGAAATGCCTTGTTGCTCAAATGTGCCACACCAATAAACTTGACTGATTTGTTTTGCATAGTTTTAGCTTAATTACTGCTCTTAGTCAGTAATTAAGTCAGTTTTCTCTTCTTATGAATTTTAGAAAAACAAAAGTTTCTGAAGCCCATAAAGTCGGTTCTGAACTTCATTTTATTTCACTAAAAATAATGACAGTTTGAAACAGATTATTGCCGTTTTACAGCATTAATTCATCTGTTTGCATCAGTGAGGATACTAAAGAGTCTAGACACTCTGAGCTGCACATGTTGACATAACAGGAGCATTTATTGCGTCTTGTTAGCATGTGAGGTGTGAAAATCACCTTAGCGTCGGGCTCTTCCAGCTCGGGGCTGTCGCCGGCGTGCTGAGCAGATGTTTCGCTGTTTTCCTCCTCCAGTGTGATGACTGCAGGGCTGTGCTGCTCCATGGGGGAGGGCTGAGTGGTCAAAGGTGAAGCAACTGAATGAACGTTGGCGCTGAGAATAACCGGTCTGACCTGACCGTCCTCCTCAGCCATCTAAAAATAGAAAGGAGAAGGAGGAAAAATGCACAATTTTACTTCTCCATAGTGAGAGAAAAGGCAGGCGGCGGCACAGCAGCGTGGTTTAAATCAATCGACTGTGGCACTGACTTTCAGCAGATTGGGGTTCTTCAGTTGCACGTATCTCTCCAGCGCGGCTCTGCAGCGCTCCACGATGTGCTCCATCTGGAAGTAGCTAGCAGCAGTCAGGTAGTTGACAATCTCCTCAGGACTGAACTGCAGCATGCCAGTGTAGCACGACTGCAGCAAGTCGCACACAACCGAGGAGCTGTACAACATCGACACCTGCAGAAAGCATTCAAAACGAGCTTTACATTGCACAACAGCATCTAGGAAGGCGGTGCGTGTTTAAAATCACTGACCTGAAGCCTGGGTGAGGGGTTGAGGAGAAACTGATCCCTCAGGAAGGGCGAGCAGGCCGCCAGCACTACCTTATGACCTTTGAAGGTCTGGTTGTTACTGGCCACGATGGTAATGTCGCAGAAATGTTGGCGGGACCGGAGGGAGTTCATGTGCTTCAGGGTCGTGTCCCCGTGTCCCGGTAGCCGGAAACACACAGTCTCCATGTTGTCTGGCCAACAGACTCTGAGCGACGCAGAGCAGAAATGAAATAAAAATAAGGAATCTGGGAAGAATCGTTCCCCCAGTTTGAGCCTGAAATAAGCTCCACTAAACGTCCAGAATAATTAACCCTTTTTAACTATTTTTAAACAATTAATCTGATTCGTCGGGATTATTAAAATAATTCCCAGTTAATTTAGTGAATGATTAATCGTTAACTTGAGCAAACAGACACAAAAAAAGCAAACTTTCAGCAGTAATTAAGCCAAAACTGCACAGAATATGCAGCTATGTAAAAAAAAAAAAGATACCAATTAAAATGATCAGTTTCTCTGATTTTACTTTCTGTAGGTTTAAGTTTGAGAAAAATTGAACATTGTTATTTTATTCTATGAACTACCGACAACATGCCTCTGAGATCCCAAGCAAAAATGTTGCATTTATTATCAGAAAATGAGAAACAAAAAAGATGCATTGCTTTCAGACCTCAAATAACACAAAGGAAACAAGTTATCATTCATTTAGAAACAATAATACAAATGTTTTAGTTCAGGAAGAGTTCAGAAATCAATATTTGGTGGAATAACCAGGTTTTAATGGGGGTCAGTGCAGTGGGCTCTTTATTTTTCCACAGTTGAATATTTCAGCTTGTTGTTGATAATTTCTACAACAAGAAACTCAGAAATGTCCAACTGATGTTTTTGTTTATCGTGTGAAGCCTGCAGACCTTTAGACATTATTCTGTTTCTTTTTTTTTTTTTGGTGACCTCTTGGCTGAGTCACGAATTTGTTCTTGGAGTAATTTTGGAAAGCCGGACGTTCCTGGAAAGATTCACCACTGTTCCAGGTTTCTTGCATTTGTGGAAAATGGCTCTTACTGTGGTTTTTCCAAAGCTTCAGAAACGGTTCCTTTGACTTTGTTTTTCATCTATTCTTACATTTCCATAGCATTGGATGTTTCTTTTTGAGGTATTAATCCAGAATAGGTCTTGTGTGGCATTGAATAAATTGCCACACGAGTAAATCTTTTTCTTCATATTGAATATTAAAAGATGGAATTTAAAAAAAATCCCACCTTTCAATATTTGCAACAGTTCTTAAAACTGCATGCACTTCTTTTATTGGTAATTTCACAGGATGTTTGAAGGTACATTTATAAATAGCGCAATACATTTTGCAAATGTTTGTTTTCCCTCATGTTTAGGAAACCATTTGGTTTTGGGTCATGCTGCCATCTTGATAAGTAGTTCCTCGAAAGACATGCTGTGTCTCAGTCTGACCTTTCTCATCACAGTGTTGATTAGTTCACTTCTTCTTCAATATGGGTCTTAGTATTTCGAGCCATTTTGCAGAAAAACAGACAATCACCTGCTGCAGAAAGATTTACACCAACCATACGTCAATTTATACTTGGAGGATGATTTCTGTCTGATAACAAGCCATTTTCTTGATCAGAATCACACTCTGTTGTACAAAAACTTGGTTTTAAGTCTAATAATTCATGTTAGGTTGGTTAAGATCTATTTCACTTTGCTAAAAGGATGTAATCTGACATTTAATATGTATAATAACATTGTATATGAAATGGTTTGGGTACATTTATGTAGACTTTATTTTTATGATTATGAACAAGTCTACATTTTTGAGAGTGCAGATAACTCAAAAAGTGATCTATCTCCAATCAAAACTGCACATTTTCAGCAATACACCCAACACAGCTCTTTAAGTTTGGACCAGTCTTGAGAAAATATAGACATTTTGTTTTACTCTACCACAATTTTAGAATAATTTGTAAATTTGTTCTGGAGTATCGGTGTTAATTATTTATCTTTTACAGAGCAGAATCAGAAATGGCTGAAATTATTGGTCGACCAGAGTAAAATCTGTGAATCTCCAATCCTATGTTGAGAACAAAACCTTCTAAAATGAATTCAGTTTTATTTCTGTCTCCTGAAACTTCTACGGGTTTTATCCAAATCAGATTAAAATATAATTTTTTAACATAGAAGCTTGCCAGTATAAAACAAGCAGTGTTATAATGCAACATAATGGCAGCTAGACTAGTTAGTTGCTCTTAAAGCAACTCACCAGACTAGCTACCATCATTGTTGGGTGGATTTTAAAAAGCTGTAAAATACTTATGAATTCGTGAAACCTCTTTTAAATCAATCCATTTCATCCTGGTTGCTTTAATAGACACAACTGATTCAAACGAAACGTAAATAAAACACATTTTAACTCCTTTGTTTTAGCAAAGCTAGCTTAACCACTGCTAGCCACCTTTAGCTAGTATCAAACTTATCCCCTGGAAACCAAAGGCAAAAACTCACACAGTTACGGTTAAAACTTCACAACAACTCACCTCGGTGTCTTCCCTTCTGTCTCAGCCCGCCGTGGTTGGTTTTCCTGAACGGGACAAACGCTAGGAGACACTTGCCGAGCAGCTAAATTTGCACATTTCACAGCTACACAGGGGGGAGAAAAATGCTTCCACCTCGATTTCTGTTTACTTTTCGGCCTCGTTCTCACAGGAAGTACCGTCTCGTGACCGGGAATGACAAGCCGCCGGCGAATCGCCAGTAAAACTGACTTTGAATCTGTTTCCGAGCGACGCCTCTTCCGTGGCGAGGCCGTAAATTAAGAGCACGCCTGCTGATTTCTGATCAGCGATTTTAAAATCAATGGACTGGGAGAGAAAAATGGGGCGGGGACCCCTGGTTCAGGCGTGCTGACGCACACATAGACATATAACAACTAGATGCTACGTGAGCGTCCAAACTGTACGTAAACGTTCCCGCCATATTGTGAGTGGCTTCGGAAATTGTCACTAAATATTTCATCCAATTATAGATTATTAGTGTCACAAAGCCTTTGCATATGATTATAACTTTGTTTCTTCGTTGTTCTTAAACTAATTTAGATTGGGGGATCATTTAGTTATTTTTTTATTTATGTTTTATTTTAGCCTGCTTGATAAGGAAAGTCTGGTGTAATAACTCCATTCACATCTGAAAAACAACAACAAACATACTCTAAAGTATATTAGAGTATGTTTTCTCTAACATACTTTAGAAAATACAAAATAGTCAGAGTAACTACAGCTTTGCTATTAGAAGTTATTTGAAGAATGACTTAATTGTCTTTAGCAGTGTTAAGATTCTGAACTACTTACGACAAAACCAACAAAAATCATAATAATACACTATTAATAAAATAATAACAACAACAATAATAATAATATTAGCTATTGTTATCATTAGTTTATCTTAATAAGGCACCTGACACAAGTTCAAGTTTAACTAAAACTGACTTAAATGAGGTGATTTTGATTGTTTTATATCAAGGAGAGTTTTCAAAGCTGTCATGTCGCACTGATCAGTAAAACGACCAAAATGATTCCTGAAAACGCTGATAGTAAAATGTAGAGTTGATTTCATTCACAAAACTCAAGTTTCCAATCAGTTCTCCTTTCCATGATGAGCTTGCCACTCGCAATATGGCGGACGCGGTGACGTACCGTTTCTTCGGTGGAACGAAGCGCGTGCGGCGTCTGTCCTGCCAAGTCTGTGTACGTCGCACGTTCATAACCGTTTACGTTCACTGGGAAACATGTCGGCTCCTCAGACAACGACAAAGGTAGAAAAGCTGCATGAACTTTAAAGGCTTGTTCACGATAATAACATTTATTTCTCATGTTGTACACGAACCAACGTACAAAGCAAATAAGTCCTAACGACGTCTCTTTCTTCACTAAGCACATTTCCGCTTTCGGCTCTAATAATTGACATTTTTACAAGCAAAGAGTGCTAGCAGTGTTAGCCTCGCTTGTGATGTTTTACCTTTATGATAGTTCTGTAATTGATTATACTTATCCCTTTTTTATTTTTCGTTTGAAGCCTTAAATCTCCCGTTAGCCGCTTTCTTACGGTGTGAAATCGCCTTTCAATGCGTTTATTTTCATTTTGAAGTCAGCTTGTTGTTTCTGAGCAGACAGTGGTGCAAAAAAGGAATTTATTTTTCCACTTCAAGTGATTAAAATCTAAATAGTGATTTGCTTATTCCGGCTATTTTCAGTAGAAGTATTATGTATCTTAATTTTTACAATTAACCCCAAAATTATGGAATTATTGATACATGCAGTAGTTTGTAAATAGCTTAGAAACACGCTGGACAAATACATTTATTTCTGTTTTGCAGGCAGATTTAATTCAACTTTGTTATAATAAAATGTTCTAGTAAATTACAAATATCTAATTTATTCACGTTTTCAACCCTTTATTTCCATTAATTAGAAATATTTGATGTGTACAGTTAATAAAAACTTGACATTTAAGATTACGATATTAGTAATCGATCATTAGTTTTCAGGAATGGTCAAATAAATAATAAATAAAACATGCAATATAAGCTGGATAATATAAAGTTTTGAGCTTTAATAGCTTGAGGCAGAATGTCCTCTGCAGGGCTCAGTCGTCTGCATATTTCCAGTGAGATTCTTTCTGGAGAAAAGCATTAGCATCAGTAGAGAGACAGTTCAAGATTAAGCATTTGGCAACCTGGGTATCATGAAGAGGTTTACAAATCCGAGAACATGGTGCTATTTGTGGCAGCATCATGCTGTGGTTGAAACTGTCCAAATAGCTCTCAGTGGTCCCACCCTTTACCACTTTTTACCATAAATTTGTGACTGCTTTAAAGCAAGGTCTATACCAAAACCACTTTAAAATAAACTGTAATGATCAGATATTAAACCAGAAGCTTATTGATCTGTTCAGGAAATGATAAATTAGAGTAAATATGTGTAATTTCATTACAGCTTCTAAATAATGTGATAAACTAATGATATAAACTTTATATTCTTTTAATTTGTCATCTTCTTGTTTCCTGCCAGGAGGCCCCAGACCAAGATGACCCAGAAACACCAGCAGAGTCTGTAGCCGCTCCCAGTGAAGTTAACAAAGGTACATCTAACTCTTGGACATCAAAAACACCCTTAATCTTTTTTTAAATACATTTTTAAATAAAAATGAGCAGAAAAGTTTTGAATGTCACGAGATGTCGCAGCCCTCATCATGTCTGCTTTCATGCTAGAATCCAAAGTTCTTTCATCGCTGACGTCTAAGAAGCCGGAAAAGGGCGTCTCTGACCCTGCTGACGATGGAGAGACCTGGTCGCCTCCTCCTTCACCACCGCTGAACAAACCTGTTGCAGGTGAAACTTGCAGATAATCACTCCATCCCTCTTCATCTTAACATGGGAAAGTTATCCGAGGGTTTATGGAGCAAGGCTATTTGTAACTCCATACAGAAACCTGGTCAATTGAGTGTATCTCTGAAGAATGAAACAGTGGTGGAAAGAGAAACAGTTTCCATGTAATGTTTGAAGAATTTATTTTGTTTTATTGTTGCATTTTCCACTGACCAAGTGGGAAAACTGTATTAAAAGAAGACCTATTTTGAAAAATTTACATTTTTTATGTTTTAGTTCTTCCATTTGGGTCACAAATGTGTCTAAAAACAAACCACGCCCTACAAAAACCCAAACCTCCAGACGTTTTAGCAATATGCTAATATTTTATGTTGTCAAGAAAGCTGTTTCAAAAATCCTTCAGATTCAAAAAACAACAATCCTAACAATCCTAGTAAAGCCCAACCTGTTACCCCCAGCTGACCAATTGTGCTGGAATTCCAGCTAGTTTTACCTCTGTATGTGATGCTGGAAAAAAACAAATGTTTTGTTCTTGACTTACCATTTAGAAACCACTTGCTGCATTCTTGTCGGTTGTGGAGGAGGCTCTACTAATGCTCTTCAAAGAAGCGCAGTTGTATAATTGTACATGTGTTTGCAGCCATTTTCATTTGAAGAGTGTAAACATCCCACATATTGCATAGGCATTTTCATTGTTTATGAGTTCTTTGCTTCTTTTTTCTTTATTTGTTTTTAACTTTTATGACTTTTACAGATATTGTTTTCATGTATTTATTTGTTAGTAGGTCATGCTGCAAAGTCCATTTCCTCGATGTCTCCCTCTCCCTACACGTCCTCCCCGTTGTCTCCTGGCCGAGCCAAGATGAGCGTCTCCGGGCCGTCCACCAGTAAAGCCAATTTCCCTCCAGCTCCTTCCGCCTCCTCTTCCCCGTCTCCTTCTGCTCCCTCCACTCCCTCCGCCTCTCCAGGCCCACACAAGATCCACCGGGCCCGGAAGACCATGAACCGTCCCCCGCCGGCCCAGGTGAGAGCGAGTTGGATTGCGTGGAAGTAACTGAATATTTTCAGGGGTTTCTGTATGATGTGAATGTTTCTGGTGAGCAGGTGAGTCATGTTGATGCTCTGGCTGCGACCGCGACGCCGGCAGGATCCGACTCTGAAACCGGTTAGTGGCTTCAAATCCCTCAGCGGTGAAACCAGGACATTTATACACGTTTCTGCTTCAGTCAGGTTTTCCTTTCATATTTATGCTGATTTTAATGATCTGTAGTTTATTAAATAGGTTTGGATTTTAAGGTTAAAATAAATAGTTTACAGTCCGTCCGTCCATCCATCCATCCATCCATCCATCCATCCATCCATCCATCCATCCATCCATCCATCCATCCATCCATCCATCCATCCATCCATTCATTCATCATTCATTCATCCATCCCATCCATCCATCCATCCATCCATCCATTCATCATTCATTCATTCATTCATCCATTCATTCATTCATTCATTCATTCATTCATTCATTCATTCATTCTCAGATGATTAAAAGTTTTGTTGAATTAAAACCCCTTGTGTTACATTGACCTTTGACCCCAAAGCCATTTTTCTGTGAAACTGAAACTGAAGCTGCTCGTGTTGCTTTGTTTTGTTTCCAAAAGCTGCAAAAAAGAGGAAGCTGTCCGAGAGCGCACCGGGGAAATGTGAAAAAATGTCAAACCAGATTCAAGCTGAGGTGAGTCGATCATTTCTGTTTTTCTGGTTGTTAAACGTTTGGCTCGATTTCTCCTGTGCCGTTCATTTAGCCTCTTTTGTGTTTCTGTTAGGGCGAGAAGCTGTTTCATAAAAAGGCGGAGTCTGTTACAGATCAAGCTTCAGCGAAGAGCAAGAGCTCTTTGGGGAAGTCTGTTGATGAAGGAAACCATTTATCTGCTCTAGATACAGAAAAGGTGTCTTGCTTAATGACATTACTGGTGATTTTATTGGTTCATGTGTGGAAGAAATGAAATCATAATTTGGCTGTTTGTGGTTTTCAGTTGGAAAATGGAGGTGAAGAGAAGCAGCCAATCACCAACACGGAAGATCAGGTGATTGTTTCTGCCGCTACAGATCCGTAAATACGGGTTTGGAAAAAATTAAGAGACCACTTCAAATGATCAGTTTCTCTGATATAATTTTCAATTTATTTGAGTAAATTGAACATTGTTCTTTTATTCTATGAACTATTGACAACATGTTTCTGACATTCCAAGCAAAAATTTGTGTTTATTTGCAGAAAACGAGAGAAGATCAAAATAATGAAAAAGATGCACGGCTTTCAGAGCTCAAATAATACAAAGGATACAAGTTCATATTCATTGAGAAACAACAATACCAATGCTTTAACTCAAAAAGAGTTCAGAAATTAATATTTGGTGGAATAACTTGGAGGTTTTCAATGGAGTTCAGTGCAGTTTTTCCAGACTTGTAT